TTTGTTCACATAAAAAAAGATGGCTGCCGTTTTCTCAGCCACATGGCGTTCGGTAGTACGAACGCCGGCCGCACAGGTAGAGGGTTCAATTGAGGCATTCTTTGAAGTTTAACGAGCCAGGGGGATGGTCTATGTTCGGTAGTTACATCTACCGAATGAATAGGGAAGAAATATTAAACATAAAAGAGGGATTTCTTCACAGTGAGCACTAGGGATTCAGAATGTTCTCTATCAGCAGTTGGAGGCAAATGAGGTTCACAGTGGTAAGCTATAATGAATTCAGATGCACTACTCTCTAACTGCCTACTTGCTGCTTTACTTAATTCCACCAAACCGTAACTTTCTTCCACTAAAACACAGAAGATGTGGCGAAAGTAATCACGACACTGGTTTTTGGAGGGGCCTGTGTGGCGGGACACCGCCACTAAGTGCCATGCCCACTGAGGATTCAGATGTTTGATTTTGGATTTTGTGTCCCCAATGTGTAGTGTTATGATTTTCGCTTATTGAATATGTGTTTCCCCTTGTATTTTTGCAATGTACGGTGCATTTTACTTTACAGTCACATGGGGCGCTCCAGCGCACGGAGCATCGTGTGCCGGAACACCCCGATATTCCATTTAGACTGTATGGTTAGAATGTTCACACCTCGCTAATGAGGTGTGAAAACCGCAGACTGCAAGGAAACAAGCGGCGCGTGCTTCCCCTGGGTGGCTGCCGGTTCCTATAGCCAAACGTCGCAAAGGGGCAGCATTCATATCCCGAACTGTCCTGCGCACCCTGTCTTTGGTCTCCGTGTCAGGGACCGTCCTACCTGCTCTAAAAGGAGCTGTAATCATTAATCCCTTGCCCCTGCTGGGAGCTACGAGTCAAGGTTTGTGGCTGCCCAGGAGAGTGCTCTCTCCGTTGGATACCTGCGTGGGGAGGTCCACTGGAGAGAGGGACGCGCGCCACCGGGGAATCTCTGGGGCTGTTAGTCGCTCTCACGGCCATGTAAGTTTTAACCCTGTAACTTATCTAGCCGTGTAAGTTTTAACCCTGTAACCCCTTCCCTCCCAGGGGCGCTGAGCCCCAAAGTGTAACCCCCCTGAATGTAATGTAGTTTAAAGTGTACTGTTTGGTATCTCCCAGGGCGGGGGATGGCTATCTTTAACCCAACCCCCTCCTGCCTGGGGCTAAGGGAAGTGTATTATGTGGAAAGGAGACCCCCTGCGGGGGTCTGTGGATAAAAGAAGCCTGTGTTGAATAAAGATTGGAAATCAGCCTGTTGAGAGTCCAGTGCTTAAACCTCCAAAACTGTGTGTTGTCCTGTTATTATCCACAAACAGCTACATTCGGTATTTCAAACTGTACTTCAAATCCCCGAAGTAGACCGACCGCACAGCCTAAATCTCTGGAATTGTTTTGGGCATGGGACCGGTCGGTCAGAATATGACTTCCATAGAATTATTGAACCCCTAAACTGATCTGGGTAATTTTTGGATATGTTGGTCACCTAGATCAGGGCTATCATGGGATGTAACAATTGTGGGGGTATCATGTGTTTTGGGGGTACTTTTGGGGTTTTGTAAAATATGGTTTTTTTCTGATACATTGATACAGTATCTGACTCAATTATCTCCCAGGCAAAGGGGAGGGATTGTATGTTTGTTATGGGAGTGTCATGCATTTAATCACTGTTCTTATTGGTCTGTGTCTTTGTGTTGGAGTCCCCAACAAGGTCCATGTGGGCGTACCCCTTGCATGGGGATTGTCATAAAAGGCCAGTGTGGCACCATTAAAATTGAGTTCCTGCTTACCCTCAACACAGAGCCTCTTCTTGTGATTTAGGGAACCGCTATAGCTGCTATAATCCCTGCTCTTGGGATTGCTCTTTGGAGTATTATAATCACTAGCTCTTCTAAGAGCGGTTCCTGCTATATTCTCTGGAGTAGGAGAAGTCTGCCCACTGGAAGCTGTATCCTGGTCTTGGGTCCAGGGTGGGTGGAGGACGGCAAGTTCCCAGCCAAGCTATAACGCTGGACGTGGGGACTACAGTGCTGATGGAGTGTCGGGTGGAGTGCTTGGAGACCTCGGTGAGCACTAGGAGCATCGGTTGGTGGAGGCACCCAGTTGGGGTGCCAGGCGGTCCGTCACAGAAGGTATAACGCTTTATCTAGCTGTTTAAGAATGAGCTGAAATGCAAGTGGAAGCAGCAACAGAAATTATTGTGGAGCTGGTGGTCTTCTACATGGGCCTAGTTAACACTGCTGCTGCAACTACAGATTCTTCTGTCACAAATATGAACATAAAACACATTTGCCTCCAGGATGGTGAATTAGATGTAATGGACATACAAGATCCACAATCCTGAAGTTGAATACTGAACCTAATATTCCAATTAACCAAAATTCAAACGAATTGTTATTTGTTTGAAAGTGAATGCTTCAAGTCTAATGATAGCATGACAGGGAGATCTCACAGAGCACTGCACTGTGTATGTTAGGAAATACTGCTACTGATGTCCATACTGATGACAGCAAAGGTAATCCCTCTAAATTAGGGTTAGTGTAGTGTTTGTGTTAGGGTAGTGTTAGGGTTGGTATAGGGGTAGGGTTAGTGTACAGTTAGTGTTAATGTAGGGTAACAGTGCTCAATGCTAGGGTAGGGTTTACTTCTGTGCTAAGGATTAATGCTGGGTTAGGGTTAGTGTAGGGTTAAAATTTGGGTTTAGGTGAGAGCATGTGTATGGTTACAGTTAATGTAAGCATAGGGTTAGGTGTTGTTTTGATCCGTGAGGGTCCTCAGCTAGATACAAGGCAGAAACCCCTACCACAGGCAAGTAAGGAGTGATAGATAGGTATATTTCCAGACATTAGAGTGGGCGGATTTAACGCAAAGGTGGAATAGCAAATATAAGGACTATACTGAGGAATATATAAACCAGGAGAATTACAGAAACACAACATAATAAACAATGGCAATATGAGGACAGTTGGGTCTGGTACAGAATCACTGGGACACTCGAGGTCAGGAAAAAGCCAGGTCTAATATACAATACTGGAACATAGAAAATGGCAAGATCTGAATAAAGGAATTAGCATAGAATACAACATAATCCGGGAGCAGGGGGCTGGACAGTGGGCTCCGGACCCCCCCCCCTTTTACAGGCCATAACCCCAACCCATGGGATACCTTACTTCGATAGGAGTCACTGTATGTAGAAACATACAACCCCTTGCCGACTGTTTATACGGGACATACACATGCAATAGACGATCGACAACAAGGCGTCATATAAAACTACTCAAAGCCCGGACGACCAGGCTCACACACGTCGTGACCCCCAACACAGGCCACAGAAAACACCACATAAACGGAAGACCAAAGGTTTGACACATAACGGGAGGGGGCCCAACACAACACGACACATTAGACTGGATCCCAAACATCTCCATAACGAAAACAGTAACACGGAAAAGGACCATACTACATCCCCCTGAATACACTCCATGAGCCTTTACAACAGAACATGACAAAACCCGAACACTACGCACTCACTTATCGCTCACCCCGCCTGGACATGGGGGTGTGGACACCAGGGACGAACTTCTCTAGATTAACATAACCCTCTTCTTCTCTTCCTTCTTTTTCCTCTTTCTATAACATTCACTCCCTCCTGATAAACTCACCTATGACTGGGGAATACAAACCCCATATCTGGTGAATAAAAGCAACATATGTATATATACAGGAGGTCAGGCACCAAACATGGAACATAAACCACATATATACGTAGGGATACAGCCTGAGACTGACCATCGGGTAAAAACTCATATGCCATATCTGCACAAGCCAAATATGCACCAGCAATGCCTAATACCATTGTAATTAAGAACTGTCTCGCAGTCACATTAACCGTATACTGTAATAAACTGATAAATAGCCTGTGTTATAACTCGCCACAATGTTTTTCGTGGAGGCCTGCGAGCCTCGCTTTCTGATTTCTTACTGCTTATTGTTCAATAAAATAAGATAAAAAAAAAAGAATACAACATAATCAAGTACAAGCCAGTCCAAAAATCAGAAACAGTATAGAGTGCTTGAGGGCTCTGAAACCACAAAAGGACTCTGGACCAAATGCAAGAAGTTTTATAGGTCCACGCCCTTGTGTCAATTTTCCATCATTGATGCATGTGCAGTGCATTGGACAGAACACCAGCCAATATATATAGGGTGCTAAGGTCGCAGTTTGCCTCCTTTAGGTTTGGTGTGATTCAGAATGACATAAGTGCAACCTAGTGACTATATAATACTGTGTCCGGGATGATGCGGCTGTGTGTTTGAAATTGCCAATGCTGTGCCTGAATGTAACAGCTTTTCCTTTATGCTGGAATTAATACTGTTGTACCAGATTTGGATTCAGACCCAGGGGAAATTGACACGGCTGGGCCATTTTTTAAATTTACTTTTCCTTTTTGACGCAAAGACGCCCAAATCGTAATTATTAAAGCAGATGAATCTCTAAAGGTATGGTACCTGACAGGTGTAGGGTTGGCATATGGTTAGTGTTAACTACTAAATAGACTTATTCATGCTATTAATGATCTGCTCTCGGGCAATCATTGCAGTCCAGGATTGATAAAGTGGTTATTAATGTGGAACTAAAAGTTACATAACCACCACACTGTATTATTGTATTATAAGATGATCAACAGATATACCTACACACCTATGCCTGTATAGAAGAGTGTGTGTGTGTGTGTAGAAGATTAAGAGTACATATAGGGTAAGGGATCTAGTGTGTATCTGGAGCGTGATGTGTGTAGTGGTGCAGTGTGAGGGGTGCTGTAGTGTGTGTGTGTATATATATATTATATATATATATATATATATATATATATATACATACACACACAAATTTCAACAGTTTCTGGCACTCATCCCAAAAATAATAATCAATAAATCGCATCCAGCAATTACCAGGTGCCTCTCCATGCAAAAATATAAACTGAAAGAATTGAGAGCACTCAATGGATTTAGTAAATCAATATATTAAATATAACGCATACAAATTTGGATGCGTTAGATTTAATATATTGATTTACTAAATCCATTGAGTGCTCTCAATTCTTCCGGTATATATATAATATATTTGGACGTATTGTATGTGTGAGGTGTGCAGTGTGTTTGTGTGTAAGAGGGGTGCTGTGTGTGAGGGTGTTTTCATCTGCCGTCACATTCTAGGTTTCTAATTTTCTTTGTCTGTTAACTCACTGAGGGTTATTTTATATAATATATATATATATATATATATATATATGTGCTGTATATGTGTGGGAGTGAGGGTGCTGTCTGTCTGAGAGTGTTGTGTGTGTCTGGGGGTGCTGTGTGTGTCTGTGTGTGTCTGGGGTGCTGCGTGTGTCTGGGGGTGCTGTGTGTGTCTGAGGGTGCTGTGTGTGTCTGGGGGTGCTGTGTATGTTTGGGTGCTGTGTGTGTCTGAGGGTGCTGTGTGTGTCTGGGGGTGCTGTGTGTGTTTGGGTGCTGTGTGTGTCTGGGGGTGCTGTGTGTGTCTGGGTGCTGTGTGTGTCTGGGTGCTGTGTGTGTTTGGGTGCTGTGTGTGTCTGGGTGCTGTGTGTGTCTGGGTGCGCTGTGTGTCTGGGTGCTGTGTGTGTCTGGGGGTGCTGGTGTGTTTGGGGGTGCTGGTGTGTTTGGGTGCTGTGTGTGTCTGGGGGTGCTGTGTGTATCTGGGGTGCTGGTGTGTCTGGGTGCTGTGTGTGTGAGGGGGCTGTTAGGGAATTTATTTTAAATTTTTTTTATTAATAATTAAAAAAGAAAAGTTACGTCCCCCCCCCTTCTTACCTATAGCCTAGGAGTGGGGGGGGGGGAGGGAGGCTAGCCATTCTGCCTTGAGGGGGGACCATGCTGCATTCCCTGGTGGTCCTAGTGGTGAGAGTGAACTCTAGCCTGCTCAGAATCCCGCGAGAGGACCCGGCGGAGCTGCTGGTTAGAGCTCTGTCGGGTCCTCTCTCTTGCCTCCCTCACTCCCCAGCCGGCAGCCGCATCTCCCTGCCTCTGGGCTGGTGAGGGAGATCTTTGATCTCCCCACCGGCCCATGGAGGCACACAGCAGGGCCGGCGCACGGATAGCGCTGGCCCTGCAGGGGCCGGCCGGGGAGATCCTGTGATCTCCCTGCCGGCCACGGCCCCATGGCCATCGCGGCCCACCGGGCATTTGCCCGGTATGCCCGATGGCCAGTCGGGCCTGTTAGCTACTGAGGGAAACAGACCAGTAGCGTTTCTGTATGTTTACTTGCTTTACCTATAATGGAGTGTCCGATAACCTGAGTCATTAATTCAAGTGTGAGTCTAGGTTTAGCTTGCTGCTGTATCAAACAAGCAGCTACTGACAAGGACACTTGAAACAACTGTGAGTGGGAGATAGGATACTGACAGACATTTTGTCATTGATCCTAGTACGGGACTACAGTATCTCAAAAAATGAGTACACCCTTCACATTTCTGCAAATATTTTATCATATCTTTTCATGTGACAACACTGAAGAAATGACACTCTGCTACAATGTAAAGTAGTAGGTGTACAGCCTGTATAACAGTGTAAATTTGCTATCCCCTCAAAATAACTCAACACACAGCCATTAATGTCTAAAACATTGGCAACAAAAGTGAGTACCAATAAACAGTTTCTAAAAGTTTTGTAGGTTTTTTTTGTGTGAACATTCTGGAGAAATAAAGTCATTTTTATTTATTTTATTTTCACTATGTTTAACTTTTACAGCAGTAAATACATAAAGCACTAACATTTTGCAACACAAACTCCTATTTTTGTTGAATAAAGTTGTCTAAGTTTACACAATGCACAATTATTTCTTAACATAATTTACTGTAATAAGAAAAACAAACCCACCATCAATGTTACATCCCCAAGTAGAAATTGAGGAAGGGGGAGTGGTTGTGTTCTCCCATCCACCATCAGCAGGAGCACCAAGGTGTCTGAACGCCTCTTCCGTGGCCATGAGAACTGTGACACCTCTTCCACCATTTCCTCCATCACCAATATTACTAGTATTCAGCCTTAGGATAGTGGGAGTAGCAGCACGTCTGTTAAGTCCAATTCACTACATAGGAGGCAATTTAATTTTTATCAGCCTAGAATAGTTGTAATAACTTCTGCTGCTGCTTCCACCGGCACTCCTTGTTCCACAGCTAGTTCAAGCGTTACTGGTTCTGTATTTTATGGTGCTCGGATCAATAGGTCAGTGAAACCACTAGACTTGTTGCCATTGTTACCTAATATTTCTTGTAGTCCCCTCCAAAGAGGCAACTATGGAGAGCTCAGCAGAGAATTTGCTGCTGCAATCCGTGCCACTCTCTACTGAAGAGTTAGCGCAGCATACCCAAGTATATGCCCCACTGTCTGTTCTTGGATATGGTGGTAGTAAGGAATTTAGATTATATTCAAATTTGAGGCGCTTTTCCTTTAAATTGCCACACTGCTACTAAAATACTTTCAAATGCAATAAAACAAAAGTGCCTCTATTCTCTAATGGTTTAGAAATTACACATTAGCACCAGGTCCGGACTGACAATTGGGCTCACCGGACAAATGATCACAGGATCTCCCCTGCTGGTCCAAGCAGGCCCCGCGCTATTCGAGTGCCGGCCCTGCTGCATTCCATCATGGGCCGGCGGGAAGATCAAAGATCTCCCTCACCAGTTCACTATCATTAACATGTGGCTGTCGGCTGGGGAGGGTTCACTCACCACTAGCATCACCAGGAATGGCAGCACGGTCCCCCTTCCTAGGCTGAAGGTAAGAAGGGAGGGGGGTGGGGTGTAATGCCTGTTTTTTTTTTTTTTTTTCTTCCCCCAACATACAATCCCTCCTAACATATAGACACACACATAACCCTCACACACAACACTCTCACACACAGCACCCTCACACACACAACATTCTCACACACAGCACCCTCACACACATAACTCTCACACACAGCACTCTCACCCACATTACCCTCACACACAGACACATCACTTTCACACACATCACCCTCACATACACACACATCACAATCACACACACACATTACCCTCACGCACACACACACACAGCTCCTTCTCTCACACACATTATCCTCATACACAAACACAGCTTCCTCTCACATACGTCACCCTCACACACACACTTGACACCTCACACACACATCACCCTCACACACACAAATTGCACCCTTCAAACACACCCACTGCACCCTTCACACACATCCACTGCACCCCTTACACATACACACAGAACCCCCCACACAATATTTCCAAATAAATAAATAAATATACATATATATATATATATATATATATATATATATAAAAATATATAGATCCCCAGCACTCACATTTACAGTACACCACCACCGGGCGCAAAACCGAGGCTCCAATAGATAAATAATCCAATGAGGAAGGCTGCTCTCCGGACTTAAAACTTCAGTTTATTAATAATGATTAAAAACGACAATGTCATTTTTAATCATTATTAATAAACTGAAGTTCTAAGTCCGGAGAGCAGCCTCCCTCATTGGATTTTATATATATATATATATATATATATATATATATATATATATATATAAAAATACAAATGGATGGTTGCACTCACGTTTTTTTGAATTAAAAGTCCAAAGTTTATTGTCAAATAGTAAAAGCTGTGATCAACGTTTCAGTCCTTCCATAAGGACTTTCATTTTTTTTTTTTTTATGATCCTGATGAAAGTCCTTATTTAAGGACTGAAACGTTGATCACAGCTTTTACTATTTGACAATAAACTTTGGACTTTTAATTCAAAAAACCGTGAGTGCAACCATCCATTTGTATTTTTGTATTTTTTGGGCTATACATGGTTGGCACCCGGTCATAAAGGGAGATATCAGCGTGAGTGTAGGAACTACTTTTTGTTTTTATATATATATATATATATATATATATATATATATATATATATACATACTACAGCACCCCTCACACACACACACTATACCCCTCACACACATACTGTACCACTAAACACATTACATTCCAGACACACACTAGATCCATTACCCAACTCTGGATCATCTACACACACTAGATCCCTATATACACTCTGAATCTGCTATATACACACACTCACTAGATCTCCTATGCACATTCTGGGTCCTTCAAACACAAACTAGACCCTATACACACACACACTCACATGCACACACACACACACACTGCACCACCTACACACACACACTACATTCCTGACATACACACTCTGGATACCCTATACACACACACTAGATTCCTTGTAAGCAAACACATACTACATTCCCTAAACACACATTCTCTACAACCCCTACAAACACGATATTACCTACACACACACACTATAGCCTGTATGCACACACTTGCTACATTCCCTATACACACACTATCTACAGCCCCTAGCCACACATGCATTTTATTACACCACAAACACAACACAACTAAAACTGACCTTATTACACAATACCACACCACAACCAACTTACTCTACAAACATGCAATCCCACAATCAGGCTCCAGACACATGCACAATACTCTTTCCTGGCCCTTTTGTCTCTTGGTATCCCATTTATAGAGACACCAGAGACAAGTTGCAAGAAAACACACGCAAGCATGTTATTAAATCTGCTTGCAGTGTGCAGAACAAAGCTACAGAGCTCTGCGCATGGTGTTCCCTGGAAGAGCATTGAACCAACATGCTCACTTTGAGAGGGGGCGTGCTTGTCATTGGTGATGACAAAACACTGCCCTGCCCCCTTCTTAGTGGGCCGCTGTGATTAAAAAATGCACGGGCCAAATTTTTTCCCAGTCCGGCCCTGATTAGCACACATGAGTTAGCGCACTGTATAAATATAAAAATCACTATATATAGCACTGGCATTCAGCATCTCCATGCTCTGTATGGAGACGTTCAAAGTTCCCTTTAGGGATGCATTGATTCAGTGCATCTCTATAAGGAGATGCTGATTTGGACAGTGTGGCGTTTAGCCTCCCAATGTTTTCCTATGGGTAATCTTAACCATGGAGGTATGTGTATGACTGT